AAATTCACACACACACACACACACACACACACACACACACACACACACACACACACACACACACACACACACACACACACACAGATTTGTCTGCACTGAATGTATCACTGTGTAACATGACTCTACATTCTCATAGAAACAGTTCCCCTTCAGCCTGAAGGCAACGCTGCTGTTCTCAGACAGAGGCCTTGATCTTGTCAACTAGAGTTACAACTCCAATTTGTTCTGTAAACTAATCGGATGCTATCATACGGAGCTCTTAAAAAAAAAAAAAAGATACAAAAGATCTGAGGTGGTTGACTGTACAAAAGGAACCAAACTTGCTGTTTTTTGTAGCAATTTAATCTGAACTTGTACAGTAAGTAATCTCTTTTGCATTTTTTTTAATCAGTCAGTTGTTTTTCAACGGTTGAGTCTTTCCCACACTACATGTGAAATTGAGTGTAACAGGTTCAGTGAAAAAAAAAATTCACCAGTTGTGTATTGTGAGCTCAGCGCTCCTGATTATTGCCATACTGCACTTCATGAGGTCATGTTTGTGCTTGCATTGCTAGGCCACAACACAACAAGACTAAATCTGCGGAAGCCAGCATACCATTCGGAGTGTTAGAATTCATCAGTGTGTAAAATGAAATTGTGAATTGTGCATTGTGGAGCTGCATTAAAGCTACCCTGAATGCTGTTGAATCTAGTTTAGCGAGATTTTCCACTTTGATGAAGCAATACAGAAGAATGAGTCTGTGTGAACTCCAGGGAGTGGAGGTCAGAGGCGTCTTTTTCTCTGCCGTTATAGGAAAGGAGCTTGTTGCCTTCTTACATTTTTACCTTTGTCTGTGGTGTCATACAACCGCATGAAGAAACAAAACAAACCGTTGAACTGCCACAAATTTAAAGCAACTGGCTAACGTGCCAGGAGCGGGGCAAGCAGAATCGGAGGACTGATCTAATAGAGTGGTTCAACAAATAAGAAATTAGCTACCATTATTATTGATAAAAAAATATGAACCTCTACACTAGGGCAGAATGATTGGGATCGAAATTGTCATCTCAGACTGTGATTTTGTGATTGTAGAAGATGCTTTTCTTTTTTTTAAAGCGCTCATATCCCCCAAAGCTCACCAATCAGAAGCGGCATGCTATTTGCGGCCACTTCACAGTGTTACCCACCTCCCAGAGTCCTTGCTTTACCGGCTGCTCACAAAAGCTTGGCACTAAGCTAACTTGCTCTGCACAATGTCTATGCATGGTGCAGAGTCTCTCCTCAAAGTAACTAATCCTTGCCTCCATGGCGGCAAATAAGCCACAATTCCAACGAGTATCACTATCGCCACAGCAAATGCAAAGGTCAGCTGGTGAAGCAAAACAGGAGCCAAAACACGCTTGGTCCTCTGCTCATTGATTAATGAATAAAACATTTCGTTTTTCCCTCTCCGGTGACCTGGATTTCCTCTTTCTGCTGGAGACTTGGACAGGTGCCGCTGAGAATAGCGCTTTACTTGAAATATTGCAACCGGATTGCGCCTTCTTGAACTCCCCAAGAACTTTAGGACACATGGTGGAGGAACGGTGACTATTTTGAAAAACAATTTTCAAGGTAAACGGTGTGTAATGGCCACATCAATCTCCAGCTTTGAAGCCACTTTCTTTGAATAGGCCCAGCTGTCCCTTGGCTCCACACTGTCATTTACTGTCCTCCCAAATACAATAAGGACTTTCCAAATGATTTTTCAAATCGTGTTCCTGTAATCATGCTCAACAAAGAGCATATCCTCCTCAGGGGCATTTTATTATTCATGTGTGCTGTCCTGAAAAAACATTATCAAAGAACCTTTTAAGGCTTATAGACTCCTTCAATTCAGTGCTTCACGTGACTCATCCCTACAAATACGTATGAACAAGGACATACTTTAAACCCAATTCTTGCTTATGATCTACCGGTGTCAGACTTGAAAGTCTTGTCCAATGCGATTTCCAATCATATGACTGTTCTCTTTGACATTTTCTTGTCCTGTGGTGCTGTTAAATCTGCCGATCTGGAGTACAGCTGCTGAATGCCTAACCATCTAACTGCTAGTCGCTTCTCTGATGAGCTTTGTGCACCCTTTTCTAACATGGAGCAACTCACCTGTTGCTTCCACTCATCCTACAGTGCTATACTGGATTTGGCGGCGGCATTAAAAACTGTGCGATCAAAAGCTAAACGCAAACCCTGGTTTAATAACAGAAGTAACACAGCTAAACAGGAGTGCTGCAAAGCCAAACAAAGGTGGGAAAAAAAAAAGACAAGCTGCAGGTCACTTATCAAATCTGGAAAGACTGCTGGCGCTGCTACAAGAGCACAGTTAGAGGCCAAAAGAGAACATTTGTCAAACCAGGCTAACCATCACAATTCGCGCACACTATTTACATAAAGCAATTTGATTCTGTGCTTAAACCTCCTCAGCCAATTTCTACAAACTCTTGCCCATTTAGGTGCAATATATTCCTCAAGGTTTCTCCAGCTAGGATTCTCGTTTCAAACATCATATTTGCATTCTCTCCCTATGACTGTCTGGCGGTGTTTAATTCTTTTGAAGCTGTTTCATTGACGTTTTAAGAAGATGTTGTTTGCCAGATTAAGCCATTCGGGCTTCCCTGGTGACTCTATTCCTCCTCATTTCTTTGAGGAGGTTCCTCCAAATATTGGTACATTGGTCTTGGCCATTGTCAATAGTAGTCTCTCTTTTGGTGTAGTCCCCCAGCAATTTTCAAGCTGTGGTGCAACCCCTGCTCAAGAAACCTGGCCTTGATCAAGATATATTGTCAAATTTGAGACCTATTTCCAAGCTGCCTTTTATTTCAAAATTTCAGTAAAAAGTACTACACGCGCAGTTGAAATCTTCCTGAGATGAACATAACATGAGGGTTTTCCAGTCAGATTCAAGAAAATACATGGCAAAGACAGCCACGTTAAGTATTTTTAATGACATCCGCCTGGCAAATGACACTGGAAACTGCATGTGTCTTGTTTTGTTGTACTGTATGCTTTTTGCATTTGCACAACCAGGTCAGCATTTGGGGTAGCGCTCTTTTGTGGTTCAGATTCTATTTTGTTGACAGAACTTTTTGTGGTCACCTTGGTTGGTCAGTCCCGCACTGCCCCACTGTCGTATGTTTTACAGGATTACTGTAATACACTTTATTTTGAAGTCAGCCAATCCTCCCTCAAGTGTCTCCAGTTGGTCCAAAATGCTGCTGCTCGCCTCCTAACTAGTACTCTTGAGAAGGAGCACATAATTCGAACCCTCGCACTTTCTGTCCCCAGTCGAAAAGACCAGGGCTCGCTCAGGTCCCCGAGAGTGCGGCACTTTGAGTAACCCTACAGCACATTCTAACAACGCTGTGCATTTCCAAACAGTCACACGCTCGGTTTGCATTTATGATGCTTAACTGGATTAATTATCATAGTTGGTGGTATCTTGTGTTCAAAAAAATACATTGTATAGGTTTAAAGTTCCCACAGGTGCTATGTCACGGTCCCCTTCGGCATTTAGCTAGGCGACAAGGAATTGGCTTTGCACGTTTTGCCTACAGCGCAAAAAGGCTGCGCATATACCGGACTGATATTCGTGAGAGCATCGATATATCGATACCAGGGAAACATAATCTGATATTCCAAGTCCAACTAAGATCCAAAGTTGCATGCTAGCGAAAACTTGTTTGAAAGAGCAGTTGAAACTGCAGTGCTGTAAACTACACCACTCCTTTGTTGTAGTCATAGAAATCCACTTCCTGTGTCCACTCCCAGGAAAATGACAGAAATACAGAGTGAGACAGGAAGCACAACTGAGAGTGCTCCAACATAACATGTTATTTATGTCCACATATTTACCGAAATAGAAAACCTATGACTTTTTTGCAGACCTACAGTATCTTTTTAAGATTAAAGGGTTACATACAGGCAATTTGAAGACAAACAAGTCAAACAACCAGCTTTATATTAGTCACTGAAAACGTGTTGCGGGCAAAGACAACAAAGCTCGTTTTACAGCATCGGCAGCAGTAGAGAGTGTTAGATGTAAACATTTATCGCTATGAAACATACACAACAAAGTTTTGTTATGTTCTTTTACCACGTCGAGATTAGTGCCTTCACGATGACATTTATGGACTTTTAACGGTAATGTTTGGCAGACAAACTGGTTCATGAGACAGCTGCCGAAGAACATGTGGCATCTCTCTGGCAGATGACTGCTGTTCTCTCTTCAAAGACTTCGGTCCTGGAATAAAACGTGCATTTTGAGTAACCCAAACACAGGCGGACACTTCTAACTGAGGGCATCCAGCATGCGATGATGACATAGGACAAACTTAGAAGCTGTCTGCAAGACCGGCATGGCTGCATTCTTAAGAAGAGAGTGACTGTGAGGATGATCCAGACTTGGTTGCAGGTATGATATGTGAAAAACCTCTGAAGAGACCGAGGAGTAACATTTTCTATTTTAATTTCCAACTTAATATTGAAGCAGGCAGTGTAAGATAGTAGAGGCATTATAAGTAGTGGTGTTACGACTGGAACGACATACATTTCTCAGTACGTGATCATAAAGTCGCTCTTTTCAACCTGAAATAGCTTTACTGTAGCAAAGCTACATTTGTGATCACAGAATGTGCTAATGGGCTTTGGGCTTTCACTTGTTTAGCGCTTTTCCACCGACAAGACATTCAACTACTGATGACGCAGCATCAGGAGGAATTGGGGGTTCAGTATCTTTCTCAAAGACACCTGGACATGGGATCGAACCCTCAAACTCTGGGTTGCGAGACGACCACTCTTCTGCTAAGTCATGCCTCTCTCGCACTAGTGTCCTTCCACAGAAGCTGACACATGCAGGATGCATGAAATCACCTGTATCAGTCGCGCTTGTGTGTGTGGGGAAGAAAGTTGTGGAGGCTTTCCTAACAGCTAATTATCTAGATGATGTAGTCATTAGTCATGTCGTTTGGTAAAAGTCAAAAAGCTACTTTCAGAAGAAAAAAATGAAATAAAATAAAAAGTCCTGCCATATAATTCTATATAAACGGCCAAAAATGTTTTGTCATTAAGTACAAGACACGTATTTTGCAGTCATAGTAAAAAACAAAGCATTATATATTTAAAATGAAGTGTTGATTTATATAATAGGAAAATTGCATCATTTTAGATTTTAAGTTTTTCTTTTAACAAGGGTTCTCTTAACATTTAGCTACTTTTTTTTCCAAAAGGTCAGACTTCAGATTGCTACATTTCTCTGATGGGTGGCCTCAGTCAATGTAGTGAAGCTTATATATCAAAACTTGTATCTTGGCTCACTACATATGCCAGGTGGCTTGCCCTTCACTGGAAGTGGCCTCGTTGCTTTCACAAGGTTAAAATAACGTAGCAAAAATGTCCAAAGACCTCTTCACAGAAGTGCAGTTTTCAGTGCTAGTGGGCGCAACATTTTCGAAGCATTGATGTAATGTCTCAAACAAGACTTGCTCTTGGACTACCCTCACATTTTCTTTTATTGTTTTGGAGTGTGGATAATGTTTTCCATTCAGACTCCATTTTAGTTCTGGAAATATCAATATGACGCTGCAGCAATTGGCCAGTGAAGCTGGAAAAGTACTCCACCCCACAATAAAAATGAGCTGGCAGAAACAAGTCACTTCATCAGCAAAGGTTTCGGCGTTAAAGGCTCAGAAATCCATGTTGAATGATGATGTTTTCATTCTGCAAAAGCTACAAGAATAATAGATAGCGATAGGCATATGGCCAGATGGTAAAATACTTTTTTATATTCTTTTAGTACAAGGAAAGCAAATCTCAAAATAGTACTGCCGACTTCAGCGACTTTGAGGTATGGAACAAATTTAGCAACATTATCAGCACCCATATGTTGCAGCTCAAAAAAGAATCACACGCAAATGCCAAATAAAGCAACGGCATGAGACATGTATGTTAAGAGCACAACTGACATTTGATGACGATGGTATGGACATCCACTGCGGTGTTAAAAACAACACGATGGAAACAAACAGCAGCACTTTCCCTGAAGTACTTTGATGAGAGACCAGCCAGACTGGTATCACTGTCGGAATGGTCATTTTATGATGAGATAGATACAGTGGTGTGGTTTGCCCCCCTTCCTGTTTTTTTTTTTTTTTTGCATGTTTCCCCACACTTAAATGTTCCCTGTCTTCAAACTAATTTAGATAATAGTCAAAGACAACAGAAATAAACAAAATGTTTTTTAATGGAGGTTTTTATGACGAAAGGAGGGGAAAAAAACCAAACATACTTGCCCCCTGTGTGAAAAACTGATTGCCCCTTAAACATGTGGTGTCCCTTGTTGGCAACAACCAAAATCAAGCATATTCTATAACTGGCAATGAGTCTTTCACAACTCTGTGGAGACATTTTGGCCCACTCTTCATTGCAGAAGTGCCTTAATTCAGCAACACTGGAGGGTTTGAGCATGAACAGTGTTTCTAATGTAATGCCACAACATTTCAATCGGATTAAAGTAAGGATTTTGACGACACCACTACAAAAGCTTCATTTTGTTTGTTTCAGAATTTGACTTTCTGATGTGCTTTTGATCGTTGTCATGATGCAGAACCCAAATCCGCTTCAGCTTGAGCCCACAAAGTGATGGCCAACCATTCTCCCACACGATTTTCTGGTTAAGAGCAGAATTCGTCGTTCCATCAATCACAGCAAGCGAGCCCGGCTTGGAATTAGCAGGGCAGCTCCAGATCATCACACTCCCACTACCATGTTTGACTGTTGGTATCACGTTCTTTTTCTGAAACGCCGTTACATTTATGCCAGATGTTAATGAGCAAGGTTTTAAGCTCAGAGGGGAATGTGCCTTTTCCGTTGCTGGTCCCTCTCTCTGGAATGACCTCCCACTGAACATTCGGCAAGCCCCCTCGCTGCCCATCTTTAAAACCCACCTCAAAACTCACTATTCTTTGGCATTTGACTCAGCATGACCTAGACTTGATCTTAGTTTTGTTGTTTGGTGCTTTCTACCGTCCTTGTTGCTGATTTATTGCTTTTCTGTTGTATACATGATAGTTGCTCCATGTACAGCACTTTGTAAATACAGTTGAGTTGAGTCCCTGTCTAGAAATTAGTTCACAACTCTTTCCAGAAATAGCAGAATCAAGGAAAAATGACAAACCTTTTTTTTTTCTCCACGATCTCTCATTGTTCTTGGAATAACAATTTGATCAGAACCCGAAAGGATATATTTCACTTTCATTTGGAATCAGTCCATTTTCAATATTTGTCAGTGCTCGACTCAGTAGCGCGTGAGCAAACGAAAACGAAAACGGATGGGATGAAACAGAGACCTACATTGACCGGAGCGCTCAGCGCGATTGACGCATGCACAGAACCATTGCCCGGACGAACCAACCAATCGTAGCGCAATCATATCTTTGCACGTGCTAGGTGGAAAGGACGGCTATTTGAGCACGAGCAGAAGGTGAAATATTACGGTAAATTAATTACCCTGAGCCAAAATGTCACAATATAGGTTTGCCTTTGTTGGTTGGGCAAAAAGACCAGATAAAACAAAGCCGGCATCATTCCTATCAAGTGGATAATTGATTTCGACACAGCCGCCATTACTGACATGACATATCATGTTGACAGTCGATCAACAGCAAGAAGCCTGTTAATGGATGACCCGTCAAAGATGCTGTCATTCTTCAGTTTGCAGGTGAGTCGTTTTTAAACACATTCTCATAGTTAATGTATCACTTCTTTCAGTTTGCGCGACTGTATTATCAAATTCAGCAACAAAATGTTTGTTCTGTTTTTCATATGAAAATGTGTATCCTGTGTTTGACTTTTACAATATAACATTTGTCATAGAAATATTCTGTAATATTTATTAATTGCAGTGCTGTTAACATTGATAGGAACATTTTCCCAATCAATTAATTTAGCAAAAGAGGCTAGACCAGGGGTCGGCAACCCAAAATGTTGAAAGAGCCATATAGGACAAAAAAAAACAAAAAACAAATATGTCTGGAGCCGCAAAAAAATAAAAGCCTTCTATAAAACTTACAATGAAGGAAACACATGCTGTATGTATGTAGGAGACTGGACTGTCTCAGAATTGTTGATGTTATTCATTCCTTTGTTGTGTGTTCACAAACGCCCCCATAGAATTTATTTTGTGATTTCCTCGCTTGATTTTTTTGTGTTGTGCATTATTTTCGCTTTTCTTAGTGTCATTGAAGTGATCATGAATTTCTGTTTTTCGGAGGCTGTCTTTGAACACCTCTCGAGTTCAACGAGAAGAGAGAAGGCACGGAGTTGGACGCAGACATGTTTGTGTTTGTCGAGACTGTTAAAAGCATAAATAAAGTGTACGTTTTTAAAAAAACACCACAGCCCTCCTTTTTCGCAGCTGCAACATGCATCAACCTGTATATCTATTTGAGCTATATTAGCCTACTATCAAAATCTTTTTCCATTTTCAAACATTTTTTATACAGCTCCAGGGAGCCACTAGATGTCGCTAAAGAGCCGCATGCGGCTCTGGAGCCGCGTGTTGCCGACCCCCGGGCTAGACTGAGAGAAGCTGAGCGGCAACTGCAACCACAGGAATAAGAGGGTGAGAAAGGGAAAACGACGGTACTTTGGTGAAGAATATTTCAGTCCTGGTGAGAAAACCTCTGGAAATCCAAAACAGGTGATGCGAATGATGTCACATTATTCATCATTAGCGCAATGGGTCTTCAATGGCTAAATGATGATAATGTATAACTTTGCCCTTCAGAAAAAAAGGCCAGATTTGCTGCTTGAAGACAGGCGGAGGAGGAACTGTTTTTCAAGGACAGTCAGTTTAGCCTGGACGCAGTGAAATGGGAACTACAGAGCCAGGTCAAGGTTTTACATCGAGAAAATTCCAAAATGCGAAATGGTAGTGAAAGGCAAGTATTGAGTATTACGGCATGAATTATTATTGTACATCTTTGCATTTATACATCTTGACCCGGGGGTGATTCTAAATGATGCTATCTAAATCTAAACAGCAATCGCCCATATTGGCACGTGTGGTCGGATCGGTGGGCTTCAGTCATTTTCCAGAGCATGTTTGAAAAATCACAAGCACATTTACTTCGTCATAAAGGAATTACAAGTAGATAAATGAAGTTGTGCTTTGTCGACATGATTGAGCAAGTAACAACCCTCAGTGACGGTTTGTATTTATATGGACTATGACTGTGAATAAACCGGGTGAATGAGCATGGTACACATACAGGTATGTACATGGAGACTGGGTCAACCCTAAAACGTACTCCTGTTACAATTATTTGATGATACATCAGTTAACTTGTGGCTTTGTGGACAAAATTGGTCTTTATGATTGCTGTCTGTTAAATCTCTCTTTTTTTTTTTTTTTAAGAAAACGAGTCTCCCTCAACACCGCCACCAACAAAAATGTTGATAACCGCCCCACCAAACATGCTGATGGATCTGAGACTGAGTGTGATGATCTACGTGAAACATCACTTTGCACACCTCACAGACCCACACAAGTATTTGCTAGCACGTACATTTCTAACATCAAAACTTGTGGTGTTTTTGGCATCCTATTGCTTGTGCCGTTTTTCCTCTTCCTTCCTTGCATTGTCATTCGAATGCTTGTTATGAGTTTGCTTTTTTCATCCTTGCTCATCACGCTCTTATTTTTATTTTACTTTTGTCTACGTCCATCCATCCATTTTCGAATCCACTTTGTCCTCACAAGGGTCGCGGGGGCTGCTGGAGCCTATCCCAGCTGTCTACGAGCAGTAGGCGGGGGACACCCTGAACCGGTTGACAGCCAATCGCAGGGCACACAGAAACAAACAACCATTCGCGCCCACACTCACACCTAGGGACAATTTAGAGTGTTCAATCAGCCTGCAATGCATGTTTTGGGAATGTGGGAGGACACCGGAGTACCCGGAGAAAACCCACACAGGCCCGGCGAGAACATGCAAACTCCACACAGGGAGGCCGCAACCGGGATCGAACCCACGACCTCTGCATTGTGAGGCTGACGCGCTAACACTGGATCCCCGGGCCGCCCCTTTTGTCTACGTAAGGTGGAAATTAGCAAGGAAGCTCAGCGTCTTGTTGTGAGAGTGCAAAAGCTTGTAGCACCCCCAATGGTATGGCACGGGTGCTCTTGATGGTGCTCGATGTCGAAATCCTCCCCAAGTCTAACTTGAAAGGAGGGCTCAGTGTTGCGTCCGATTCCAATGCAGAGTGTCGCAAGCTTTGCAAGCTAAGTTCTCAGAGGTGGTTTCCTTCCAGTTTAGAGTTCATCTCTGCCTGCAAAGTGGCTTTTACATTTAAGTATCCAGTGAAGGGGGTGTGGGTTAAGAGCAACGAGTGGCGGCGGAAGTACAGGAAGCAGGGGGCTTGAAATGGGTAATTATTGTTGTGTTCTTTTTCACAGATGCAATTCAACAACAGTTTCCTGGGGTCAAGGAAGCTGATGTGAGACAGTCCATCAACAATCAAATCTGTAAAGTAAGACATCAGCTGAAGCACAAGTCGCAAGCCTCATTAAAATTCGGAACTGGTATGTTGCACTGCTGCAGAATGTTACGTTGAGTTCAAAACTATTTTAAAGTTTAGACTTTGAAGAGATTACACTTGAAAGAGTTTGCACTGTTCAACTGTTGTACTGTGAATAAAGTAGTTGTCAACCTCAAAATCTGTTATTTTGTGTTTATTAAAAAATAAATAAGTGGATTTTGATGAGATACCGATTAGTCTTTGTTCATTATCATATATTTGCTCCTATTATGCAATACACATTTCAAGATAATTTCACATATTTTTACATAAATTTCATACATTTACCATATATTCTACAGAGTATTAATCATATATCTTTACCTATACCTCGTGTATGTTTGCATATCATTTTCCATGCATAAAAAAGACATTTACCATACATTGAAAATATATGCAACACTATTTCTTCACATATATTATCAATGCATTTCCCGATATAAATTACAACACATGATTGTGGATATTTATAAAAATATGATGGATATTTTGTCATATATAAACACATATTACATCGTCATGATACATATATGGAAAATGGCAATTCGGGGGGGTATTTTCAATATATTACATGGATATACAATGAATATCTTGTGTAATATTTGATCATTAATATATAAATCCATATATTTATAACATAATATTTGTCATATACATTGGGAAAATAATATAATATCTTGCAATATATTTCCATTCATACATCGGTAAATATATTTGTCTTTGGTGGGATAGCTGAATCCATGGCAAACAGTCTGGACCCGAGCTGCACCAGTTTTATTGTAATGGCAGGTCGTCAATGTTGAACACGGGGTCTGAATGTGCAGCATAATTTGGAGCACATCTGTTTAGAGGATTAGAAAAAAAAAAACATGACCTGTAATTACAGGGAAGCGTTCCTGAAGCTCTCACTGTTTCTTCTGAGGAAGGGGCCCAAAGGCTGTCTATCTGCCTGCAGCAGACGGCGGTCTTTTTGAAATCTGAGCCCAATCCTGCAGTCAGAGCTGCAGTCGACAGACAAACAGCAAGAACTGCTGTTTGATCAAGAAGCACAGCGGTGTCGTCGACTTCAAGAACATGGCAAAGATATTTGGGAGACCATTTAGGAAAGATCATGTCAATATAACATTACCTTGCTTTATCATAAAACCACATGTTGCTTGATCATTTGTTGAACTGTGACCAAAATAAAAGTTGACATTTTACAAATATCAAATGAGCATTCCCATGTTTGACCAGAGGAGCCTTACTGCATAGACCAGCCTTCCTCAACTGGTGGACCGCGATCCACGACCGGACCGCCGACCTCTGTCCGGACCCTCGGCAAATTGTATAAAATAATAATTTATAGAGTGATTTTTACGTTATACATTTTGTATTTGTGGACTATAATCTGCGCATTACCGCGATCGCTTGTTAAAATTATCCGTTGTATTCTTTGCGTGCACTAACAGATGTATTGCAGAGGACCGCAGCAGCGCGACTGTGTGTTGTATAATGTTTGACTCACTGAAGACCCTGGCTGAGCAGGGCATGTCGGCGATAACGACGCGCTCATTGGCTCCTCTGAACTTAAGATGTGCCCATACATAAGCGTCAGCATATACGATGCGCTGATTGGCTCCTCTGAACTTAAGGTGTGCCTATACATAAGCGTCAGCACGCGTCTATCCCAATACACATGCATTCAAAATGGATGATTGTGTCAAGAAACAGACGCATGTGCGAAGCCACAGTGTGCTACTGCTCACAGCTTCAGTCCAGGAGAGCCGCACACAGACAATTAGACGAATCGCGGGAGGTTTCGATTGTGTGCAGTTTTGCTCCCGTCTACCCGGGGATCTTTGCAGCTGTTTAACAGCAGAACACCACAACATGGTAAATAAACAGAACAATGGCGTCCTCAAATAATATTTGCATGCCTCAGACATTGCATTCACTTTTAGTGGAAGAACAGCACTGCACATTCCTGTGCTCCCTTGTGTCAGTATTTAAAATGGTTCTTAACTCCTCTTCTGATATGTTTTTCAGTGATTTCAGAGGGGATGTGAAAAGGGGAATTGTACAAATGAAAAGGATATTTTTGTTTTCATGGTTAGTATTTATTTTGGTAAAATGAGTATTTTGTTTTGTTTTTGTTAAATTAAGGGAAAAAAGACAACTACTGTTGAACAAAGTTAAAGTAAAAATGTCTTATTTCCCTAAAAGGGATATTTCTATTCTTAATTAAGCAGGCACAACTTAACAAAATCAGAGTTCCTGTGCCTCAATACAATACCTCTCATTATTTGCTGTATACTGGCAAAGTGAATAATTATTTACATGCACCCCATTATTGGTTGGTTGTGAGGAGTGTTGATTTGTATAAGCTTGGCTTGACCATACTAAATGGGCATATAGCCCTGCTCCCCATCACCGCCGTGCATGGGACCGGACCTTGGTCTTATTAAAAATAAATAAATAAATAAAAAGTGGACCGACAGCATTTCTAGTTGAGGACCACTGGCATAGACCAATATAATTCATCTAAAACCTTTTTTACTTACACCCTTTCCTGGGGAGCCATAAACAGAAAGCATGCGTGGTCTTGTTTTGAGAGGACAGGTTTTAGAATGCATGTGCAGCACCAGTCATAAAAAAGTCAAACTCCCTGACCACAAGAAAGCAGAGTTTGCCAACAAGAAAGGACAAATCTGAAGAACAAGTTGTATCCGTGCAAATGGCCAAAGAGCCTCGGCTTTCCTTTATGAGCAGAACGAGGACAAAAATAATTTGCATAGAATCTGTTTTTCACTGTTTTAATATGTTGTGAGAGATTTAATCCACATCACGCTGACTGTCATTCCTAGTAGAAGAAAGCATTGGAAAGAGCATATGAACGGACAGTTGAAATTGAAGACAAACACCTGTGCAATACTTGATCCAGAGAGATGCACGCTCAACAGATTTTTCAAGAATCAAACTAGTTAGTGCAGAGCAAGAACACGTTCTCAAATTAAAAAACACAAACAGCCTCATTCCGCCAAACTCTAATTCCAGGAAAGCTTGTGACACGATAAACTCAATTGGACATTCAAACCTCACCGGGCCCCAATGTGACAAGAGGAACAAAAACTATTTGCCATGCTGTTAAGTGGAATCCTTCGGGTTGAGTATTAGACTTCCTGGAGCCAATTCTGCCTCTCATCATCGACTGGATGTCTGACTTGAGTCATTCAACAAGGCCGCCGAGTCGCTGGAGTGAATGGCTGCCTGTAAAGGCACCAGCAGGTAATCAGGATGAGAGCAGGTGGCGGGCAGAGCACAGCAACGCGGCCTGGACATTGTGACAGGCTGGGGGTTGAATGCACCTTTCACAAAGTTAAGTCTTCATAGATATATATACATCATCTGTTGCTCCATATCCTACTGTAAATCAAAGTTATTGGTCAGATTTAAGAATAATCTTTGTGAAGCCTAGATCATCCAGATATTTACAAAACTGACAAAGCAGATTAGGCAAGAGAAGCATCGCAGAAAGCAGAGCCCATCTTGGGCTGCGTTGGAAATCAACCTTATCGCCGCCTGTATGTTGTCAACCACAGCTATCTCTGCCCCCCCCCCCCGCACCCACCTCTTGCCTCCTTCTGACAGCGCCCAGACTACTGTAAACTGGCAGAGCTCCTCACTCAGATAAGAGACTGAACTCTAGCTGTCCTCTGGAGTATATTGAAGTGTAAACCACTGCAAGGTGTTACATTTTGAAACCCAGAAAGCCACAATTTTTTTCTGAGAGTGATGTGGTTTCACTGCTGCGTGGCAGTGCTGCCCCTGTATATATAGACTGCATTGTGTAGCATTACACAAGCGCGCATGCCTGAGGATTAGTCATGGGCCCTGTCCTGTCTGTAGCATAAGACTGCAGAGGCCACTAGCTATTGTCACCACTGTGTCACAATACACTCCCAAATATTCAGCAAATGTACAACTCCAGTTTCGAGTGTTCTTTGGCATCGAGAGGCACTTATTGAGTCAACTCCTGTGACGAAACCTTACGAGCAAACGTGGCAATGACGGCGCAAGGACACATCATACAGTAAATGTGCTTTTACGGAGCCAGCTACTTGTTTACATGACCCCAGATATTGCATGGTTCAAACGAGGATTACTGTGGTACTCAACCAACACAAAAGACAAAAGACTTTCATCGCTCTCCAAAACAAGGACCGGATTTAATATAAATGCATTTAGCTTCCGGCTAGATCAAAATTGCTTGTCTCTATTTTAAGGATGAACGGGAAAAAGATCCTTTCAACTCATTTCACAGAAGCAAGATTGCAAAGAAGAAAACAAAGCACTTCTCTGCATCTCAGTTCAGCCACCGGCAAGTTAATGATGGGAAATGCAAAATGCTGGGAGGTTCAGCTGCTGAGGCCAAAGCCGAACTCATAATGACCCACGGAAGAAAGGGGGGCTTTGTTCCGTGCAACACTAGCAGGTTTCTCTTATAATGACTTCATGGGCATGCCAATATCTTTCCCAAAACAATCCTATAATGTGACCACGACTCTTTTTGGGGCACCCCAATCATGTGAGCTCGTAATACAGGACTTCAAATAGAAGCTGTGATTCAAAATTCATGAAGGGGGTGTCAGTGGATCAGTAGGAGCAAAGGCAATAGGGCTTTAAAATAACATGGAATTCATAAAAAATGATTTCAGAAAATGACAATGACATTATCCTGGTTTACTTCATGTGAGAGGCGGGGTTCGCCCTGAACTGGTCGCCAGCCAGTCAGGGAGCATGTATAGGCAAACCATTCATCCTCATATTCACACCTTCAGCCGATCCAGTAAGCGTACCGGGATGACCGACCGGTATGACGTAGCAGTCAGCCGGACATCCCAGTCGCCATCACCACCACGTCAACTGGCAGCCGCAACACCATCGGAGGGTCCCCTGCCTTGCACCGGTGTTCGGGTGTATGGCTCCTCCGTTCTGCGGGTCATTCTCCAGCACCCGGGAAACCGCAAGCGTGTGCCCAATGAATTGAATAAATACATATTGATTTATTTATTAATATATTGATTAATCACCTCACCCTAAAATGAATAATGAGCAGCGAGGGTTGCGGAATTTCAAAGCAAAGCACAAATCCGGGTGCACATGGTTGCTCAGGTGATTTTTAAAGAATAAATTGCATGGCACAGGCGTCTAAGCAAAGACATGGAACGGATGCATTTAAAAAAAAAACTATTTGGCTGCAGGCATGACCTACCTACTTCACAGTTCAAATGCATGTACAAGACAATTTAAAATATTGGTTCAGACCTTAGAAGCATCATGGAACTTGACATGCTTGATTTGCTTTTGTGGGCCACATAAAATGATGTAGCGGGCCAGATCTGGCCCCCGGGCCATGACTTTGAAATCTGTGTCTTAGACACATCACTAAATGATTCGTATTAATAGGCTGCACAAATCTATCACAATGAACTGACACGTTGTGAAGGCCACTTGCACACACGAACACAAAAGCAGTCTGATTACCTTTGTGGACAGTGTGAGTATAGTGGCAAATTGCTTTTGAATTGTGGTTCAACACAATCCCGAAAAAAAAAAAAACTCATGAAACTGACCTTGACCAAAATTTGTGATTGACAATTTTATTTTGTTTCATGAGTGGACAGAAGCTTAATATTTTCACCTTGGTAACATATCCAAAACAATGGACTGTATGGGTAATTACCTCAAGATGATAGTTCCAAAGGGAACACAAATTCCACAAGAGCACTTCTATATTCGACAAAAATGGGCTTGGGCTTTCACTTTTATAGCACTTTTCCACCTTCAAGGCATTTGAAACGCTTTAACGCCATCTCCTCATTCAGCGACTGATGACGATGACTAAGAGCCCTGCTCAAGCCCACTTGGGCTCGCAATCTTTGGGTTAGGACCGCACCTCTCTACCGCTATGCTGTCCCTGGAGAGGGAAAAAAAAAAAAAAAAAAACGTTGTTCCAGTCTTCACAAGTGCTCACATTCCTGATTATCTATAGGGGTGGGAGAAATATTCTTTCATGTTCATTGTACAGTCAAGTATTTTGAAGCAATTAACACATTTTAATAATCCATCATGAAATAACGGAATGATAATGGAATGGAACTTGGCAGTACAGCAGTTGCCAGACAGTCTGGACACAGAACAGAACTGCTGCCCCAACTTAATGCCATCCGAGTGCATAATGTTCACTCACTGTACATTTACTTTGGGGTGACATCAACTGTCACGTAAGGCATGCTGGTAATAATGCATTTAAAAGTGTGCTCCGCTCCTTGTAAAACCTCTTGCGAGCACAATGGATACCTGTTTAAATCGGATCACTGCACCATGTGATTACAAATGCGCTAAAATAGAAAATATGGCATTTATGCCGAGTTTGGGATGTCTGTGGCTCTGAGATTGGCAACGAGCTGCACACATCAGTGACATCACATCACAAAGCACGCGCATCATCTGTCTGCAATATGAAGGCACAAGCAATGGATTAAAGACAGGGAAGGCGTTTATATTTATGAGGGACGTGTTCATTGATTTGTGTGTGATAGCATCAAATTCATTGTTTGGATAAACACAATTGGACAAACACAATTGAAGACAAAGTAAGAGGGAAAAAAATATAATGTGTCATGTAATTGAACAGGGCTAGTAAAGGAAAGTCACTGAGGGCTTCCTCGGAAAAATACACTTGATTCTCTGACAACACTACACATGTCAAACTCATTCAGTAATGGAGCTGTTGCAATGCATTTAGATGTTGCACACTGTTACCCAACACTGTATAACTGAATCTTATAGTCTCGCATATTACGTAACCACAATCACCAAAGGAAAAAGTTGAGCTTCCGAGGCAAGTTGAAGTGAAGCGTCGCTGCTACCAGCAACTCAACAGATCTAACCTGAGGTGATAAACTGAGGCCAGTTTTTACAAATAGCAGACGAGATCTTGACGGGTGTTGGATGTCGACAGGGACCAGTTGCTGGTGTCTCCGCCCAGGCTGCCTCTCATACTACAGCAGCTGTGTCTTCTCAGACCTCACATTCCCGCAGGACAGGCCCACTTCACTCTCATCACCTGTGCACAGCCTAGGGCTTGAGAAGCTCCTGGGGCCAGCACTGCTACTGGAATCAAAGTTGTTGATCTGACACAGGCATACCTTCCCAGAAAGAAAATTGGAACATAACCATAGAAAGGAGGACCCATTAAATAAACAGGTCTGTCTCTCATGACCACACAAGGGCAGCACGCAACCGGCTTGACATTTACGTTGCATGTTATGGACACCACCTTGGTGCTTTGTGCTGAGCACGTCTGCCTCATCCGTTCAGAGATTGGGGGTTCAACTCTTGTCTTGGATCTCTTCTTGAGAGGAGTTGCCATGTTTTTCCTGCGCTTCCTCCCATATTCCAAACAGGTTTGGTGATCTCATGCTGGGTGAACTGATGTCTAAATTGTCCATAAGTGAGAGGGTGAATGACTGTTTGTCTAAAGGTGCCCTGCAAATGGCCGGTGACCAGTCCTGGGTGTATCCCAACTCTGGCCCCAAGACAGCTGGGACATGCTTGAGCTCATCGGTGACCCTAATTAGGGCTACAGAAAATGGATGGAGGACAATCACTGTTGTGTTCTTCTGCTATCCATCCATGTGAAAAAAAACCTCACAGCATCAGGACGGGGGCACGTTCACACATCATATGGAGTTCTAAGAGGAGACTCATGCATCAGCAGCTTCAGTACAAATCGGCATACTGTGCTATACGTTTTTCCTCAGTGGACTCTACCAAATAATACGTGGAAACGCACAAGGGTCCAAAAACCAGCTTTAGCGGGCTGGTTCACGCACCTCACTTTAATAACGACACGCGTACAAGACAAGTGAGGTCAAGCGTATGTTTGAAAACCAAAGCAAAGCGACAAGTCCACTGTACATCCACAAACGCACTACTGTATAGTTGAGCTTCTCAAGTCACCGAGCCTACACACACGCAAACACACATACACGCACACGCGCGCGCGCGCACACACGCACAAGGCTCGGCAATACCGTAGGATGGAGTGCGCAGAGAAGAGAGTGAGCTGCCCAAACAAGAAAGGACTTGTGGACCTCCGTGAGTTAAATAACTCTTACCTCCAAACGAGGACGCCGAAAGTGAAATATTGTCGCTGGGGTTCGAATCTGGAGTTTTCCTCCTTCTTCCGTCACCACTACTGAACTCCTATTTAATTCCCTGCCTTTTCACGCCATTCCAGCGTCTTTTTATGTCCTCAGCCGCTCACTTCTGACTGACTCCCCGCAGGTCAACCCTTTGCCGCGGAGTGCGGCATTGTTTATCCGTGCGTATCAATTGTTTGCTGGGATTGAGAGCCGCTCGTGACTGACTTTGCAGCTATGCTGAGAGCTCCCAACTCTTCTCTCTCTGATCAGCTAATCAGCGCGGCTCCGTTCACAGGCGCGCTCACGCGGCCGAGCGACATAACAGGAAGCCGACGCAGGACGGCGACGTTCTTCAACATACTGCAATTTTTAAAAAATAATTAGGCGAAATATACATCTACAGAATATCCATATAAAAGGCGTACAATCCGTACATTTATTTTTTTTTAAAAACTAATTCTGAGCCACTATAATTTTTTTCTTCTTTAACCTCGGCTCCTCCCACTGTCGCGAATTGGGAATTTTACTCGAGGCGGTTTACGGCAGCCAGTGTAAGGAGGGATGCGGTTATAACTTCGGACGCTTCTTCAGTCGAATGTTTTTTTAGGTACTGACAGGGAATTAACCACACTCGTTTGAGCTAAGTAAAACGGATTTGATGAGCTCCGGGATGTATCTGCGTCTAGATAAATTTTTAGCTTTTTGTGACGTTGAGAAATCTGATTAGCAAGACCATGCTAACATAGCAGCAGTGTGCTGTGATTCCGGAACACGATACTTCTCTGTACCATTTTAGAAGTGACAAAGTAATTCTTTACGTCACATCTACCAGTTACGTTTACGTGTGAATGTCTTTAAATCATGGCACGTCTTTTCCCCCACAAATGAATAAATACATTTGCTGCATCTAACTATATGCCCAATCTTCAACAAGACAAAAACAATACTGTACTTAAAAAAATTACATTCAAATTAACAGGTGAGCTCAAGTGCACTGCATCTGATTCACAAGTATGAATGTGGTAGAACAAGATAACGCAGCGTTTAAAAATGTATTTGGCTGACACTCGGTATCTGTGTTTGAAGGATGGATCCTGTCGTGCTGAGCTATCAGAATAGCCTGCTTCGACGCTCTGACGTGTCCCTCCTCGAAGGACCCCACTGGCTTAACGACCAAATCATCGGATTTGCCTTCGAGTACTTTGCCAGTGAGCGTTTTCGACTCCTGGGGGAGAGTGCCGTCTTTGTCAGCCCAGAGGTTACCCAGTTTATCAAGTGTGCTTCCTGCCCAGAGGAGTTGGCCATGTTTCTTGACCCTCTTGATCTGGCCTCGCGTCGTCGTGTCTTCCTGGCTGTGAATGACAACAACGAACAGAGCGCTGGAGGGTCACACTGGAGCCTTCTGGTGTATCATCATAAGTCCAACAACTTTGCTCACTATGACTCTCAAAATGGCAGCAACTCTCTGCACGCCCGTCGCATTGCTAGCAAGCTCGAACCCTTGTTGGGTGCAGGAAGAAAACCTGTGTTTCAGGAGCAACCCACTCCTGTACAAGAGAACAGCTATGATTGTGGAATGTATGTCATCTGTATAGCTGAGGCCTTATGTGAGAAACCACACCTGGCTTTGCAAACTCTCACCCCAGCCTTCATTAAGCAGAAGAGAGCAGAATGGTGCATATTAATCCGGAGTCTCGCTCACAGTGAACTCTGATGCGCTCTGACTTTTCCTTAGGCCAAACAAAAAAGATAGTGTGTTTCCGGTAATAAGAAATTTCAGCATAGGTTCGGTAGGTCGGACAAAGTTTTTTTTTTCCCCATCAAAAATTTTAACAAAATAACCATAAAACATAAAACAAGAAAACATTGAACCCGCCGCTCCGCGGCCGACGCCGCCGCCACCTATTTAGTTTTCATCCCGGCTCTGGACTCGGGGGGCCGGGGCGCACCGCCGCCTCCGCCGCCGTCCTCCTCCGCCCTCAGTTTTTACTCGGCCCGTGGTGTTCATCAAATAGTTCGCTGAATTGCTCAACTTGAATATCGCGAGAGTTTGCACCGACGTAAACCCTCTCCACAAAAATGTAGAGGGTTGTTTGAAAAAAATGCCGACCGTAAAGTTTTTTTTCGACGTAGAAATTCTCGGTCGGTCGGGTTACCGGAAACACACTACTTTTTTTTCTACGCCTTAGTACCTAACTCGCCGTATGCAGAACTGCATTTAAATGATTGGATCAAATCATTAGTACGCCACCTTTAATGAGAGAAAAATTGTCACTGGTCACTAAAGTAAAGGACAAAAATGGAATGAATGAAAATGATAACTTTGGTCAGTTTTTAGTTATTTCAGAGGCCATTGTTGGTTATTCTATCATTAATAAATGGCGTCAATAATTTTGTCCAAGTACCGGTATGTATCGTCTGCTGGAGTCGTAGATGCACTCCTTAAATAAAGCCAATCTTATTTATTTCAATGGTAGTCTGCAATGGAAGAAAGTGACAATATTTTGACTCTTTTATGATTCATTCAACTCACGCTGTCATGTTTATCTTTAATGTAAGCACTGCAACACGTGATACATAAACCCAAGAACACCAGCATGCCTATAAAAAGGCATGAAGTCTCTTGTACATTTTAAGTGAGGACAAAACAAAGGCAGCCGAATCTGCAACTTCTATTTTATGAGTTTGGGGCAAAAGTGAAAACGTTAACACAGATTAAAGGTCATTGTCACATGAACAAGAATTGACAGAATGTGACTTTGATTCCAAGCCTTGGTTGTCATGGGATGTCGGCAGCATTGCTGGGTTGGAACATTGTTTTAATTATTTTAATAAATCAGTTTTATCCTCAAACTGTTACTTTTGTCATATGCATAGGTTCAGATTCATTTACATTCAAATTTTTACAAGAACAAACAAATTTAAGGCATATTTTCTACAGCGCTCGTCCTCGCGGGATTAGCTTATTTTGGCACACTTGATCGGTCACCATCCATCTTCTACACTGCTGACCCTCACTAAGGTCACGGGTGTCACCAAACAATCAAAGACAAACATAATCCCACTTTACACCTATAAACTATTTTGAGCCTTCCAAACCCCAATTCCAATTAAATTGGGATATTGTTTAAAATGTAAATACGAACATATTACAATCATTAGCAAATTCCTTTCAACCTATATTCAAATTGAATACGTTACAAATACAAGATGTTTAATGTTCAAGCAGATACTATTGTCCCCCCCACCACCCAAATCTTCTCCCATTTTGAATTTGATGCCAGGAACACATTCCATGTCTGCATACAGACAATCATTTTGGCTCACAAGTAAGAATTTACCACTGACAGACGCAATGATGACCAAAATTTCACAATGAGTACAAGCGTCATATCCTTCACTAAGGCTATGTTTTAAGGCTCTTCGCATTCGTAAAGACAAGCATACCAAATTGTTGATGCCTTAGGTTGGATGAACCAGCCTCCCGCTTCCACATTACTCAGTCAGACACTGCTATGCCATGCTTTGGGTTATTCACCGCCTTGGCAGTCGGCATCTGTGCTCGATACGACAAAGTAAAGATAAACACAGATTACCTTGATATGTGTTGAACAATGGTGAATGAGCTGAGCGATGTTGCTGCGCAAGGTGGGACGTGACACTGCCAGAAACACAAACAGTAATTGTGAACCACTATCATTAGGGTTGACAGGTGTGTGGTAAAGCGGAGGGGCACGTGTATAACTGCACATAGGCTAGTGAGTCAAACAAATGTGCAGTTGGATGTGTTAGAAGTGGCCAATAGCTTACAAGTGACAGATTGTGAAGGAATCAAGTTGTCGGTGCTATTCCGGTGCACCTTTGAGGCCAGCGTAACGACGAGTCTTGAACGCAAACAAGTACACGACATTGACTTCTTTGTATTTTCTGTTTATTAAAAAATAAAGTCCACAAAAAAGGTTCTCTTCAGTTTGTCTAATTGTCGGTATTATATGTCTGATTTGTTTGGTCAGAAAACTGTATCGCTTCTAATCTTGAGCTGTCCTCATCTCTCTCTCTGACTCCTTCTCCACACTGTCTTCATTTGCCAGTCGCGTGACGTCACAACAAATAGTTCTGTAAAAGAAACACTCAGAGATGCATAAAATAACAATGACGACTATTTCTACTAAATTAGGAAATATGCCAATTGAACATATCAATACTAAACAGCAAATAGAATACTCAAAATTCAACCAATGTCAAATTGGCACCTACACAAGTTTTCCTCTTTCTGTTCAAGTCCAAAGTGTAGGTGTCAAAATAGTCGCGGCCCACATTGCTGTTATTGCTTCCCCACAGACGGCCATTATGATTGTGAACCCACATACAGCAAATGTATCATCGTCTCATATCACATACAAACAACTAATTGATGGATAGCTAGTTTAGAAATCAAAATGTGTAAAAAAAAAAAAAAACTATTTTTCAATGTACTGTATTTTAAAAGGGGGATTGGTAACAAAAGTGCTTGCAATATCTCAACATTATTAAAAGTGAAGACTATTTGCAGTTTTCTATTCAGCAAGAAACTTGAAGTTATAGCACATGATTTGCCTTTGCGGGCCACATAGTGATGTGGCGGACCGGATCTGGCCCTCGGGCCTTGAGTTGTGACACTTGTGAGTTTAAGGATTACCCGCCGGTACCCCACAAGTAACGTACAGTATGGCAAAAGTAGTACACAGATCTCCATGTTGGCTGCTCAGTATACTGATGATAAGTTTGCAATAAAACAATATCAATAAGAAGAAGAACAGAAGTGTCATGATAATTATGTCTCCCTCTCCACTTCCCATTATCCATCCATTCATCCATTTTCCAAACTGCTTCCTAGGGTTGCGGGGGGTGCTGAAGCCTATCCCAACTGTCTTCGGGCAGTAGGCGGGGGACACCATGAACCAGTTGCCAGCCAATCGCAGGGCACACAGAGACGAACAACCATCCCCGCTCACACTCACACCTACGGACAATTTAGAGCAGGGGTGTCAAATTCCGGTCCTGGAGGGCCGGTGTCCTGCATGTTTTCCAAGTCTCCCTGTTGCAACACACCTGATTCAAATGATCAGATCATCAGCAAGCTCTGCGCAAGCCTGACATTGAACCTGTTCATTTGAATCAGGTGTGTTGCAACAGGGAGACTTGGAAAACATGCAGGACATCGAACCTTCGACCTCTGCACTGTGAGATCGATGCGCTAACCACTCGACCACCAGGGCGCCACTTCCCAATCTGCATTGTCAATAAATAAATTAATTAAAATAAATTAAATATATATGTGTGTGTGTGTGTGTGTGTGTGTGTGTGTGTGTGTGTATGTATATATTGTATATTGATCGAAGTACGATAATAACAATAAAATATAATGATAACATTTTAAAACAGAATAATAGAAGATGAACAACCCTATCTTTCCACAAACATGCACCAAAGACTCTCAATTGTCCATGGGTGTGAATGTGAGAGTGAAGCCCTGTGACAGGCTGACAAATTATACTACGGAAACGTGAAAAGTGACATCCAGTTCTGTTTGCAGACGTGCACATTTGAGACGTGTGAAGCGAGTTACCTCCATATAAGCAGCACACTTCACCAATAAAATGAGGAAGCTGAGATAGGAATCACTTTTCTCTTCTGCGTTCACAGGCTGTCACTGAAATGTTGAAGTACCAGCCAGGCTTGTCCATCTCACTTGCCTGGGCTGTAACGGAGGTCAGTTGTACAGTGAAATCAGAAAGCAGCTCAGCCCCTTGTAACAAATAGAAACGTATACCTTCATTAGCTCAGGCTCAAAGCGTAGAATCGACAAAAGAATACAACAGTTTTGTTTCTGCCCCTATTTTCTGTTTATGGAAGTCAAAGTTGAAGATTACTTAGCTGTCAACAAACGGATGTGGGAGAGTAAGCGATACTGGTAAAACTGATTTATCAGCAGAGTTGTTTCCGTGTTGCCGGATGGGTCTGTGTGTGCAAATTTTCGGTGTGTTCGGTCAGGGGCAACTGAGCAATAAATGTGCAAAAAAATAACAAGAATGAACATACTGTATTGACCCGAATATAAGACGGCCCTGAATATAAGACGACGCCCTCTTTTTCAGTCTTATTTCAATGCAAAAAACACAGTCTGATATTCGGGCCAATATGGTACATGTTTTTCCACAGGACAGCGATGATATGCTGGTTTTGCTGGTGTCACCAACCATCAACATGGCCTGGCACCAAAACACAACAAAAAAAAATAAAATACTGGGGGCCAGATCTGGCCCGCCACATCATTTTATGTGGCCCGCGAAAGCAAATCAAGCATGTCAAGTTCCATGATGCTTGCTAAAGTATGAACCAAAATGTCAAATTGTCGTATGTAATCCACAATGACAGTCATTATTCTTGATTTTTGATTTTAAAACTGGTTATTCATCAATTTGTTGTACGCTGTGTTTGTAATATGTGGAGGTGATTAAACATTTAGCTGGTTTCCCAAAATTCATAACGGCCCTCCAAGGCAAACCGTAACTACAATGTGGCCCGCGACACAAATGAGTTTGACATCCCTGTTCAAAATATTTTATTCTATGTTTCTATGTTAACCCTTTCGAGGACAGCAGTTACTGCAGTGGACAGCTTATCATGTTATTGGGTACAGGTTATCATTATTGGTGCATGAAAGGGTTACTATATTTTGAAGCGTCTTAGCAAGTTCTGCTAGTGGACGAATGCCATAACCCAACCTAATTCATTCAAGAATGTGTTCCTAGAACATGTGCTAATCATTAGCAGGTTAAGCTATATTTTTATTATATGCTTACATGCACCGGCCCATGCAAAAGTGCACCCATTTAATGACCGTCACTGAAGCGTTACACTGCCTCCGTGTTGGATTTATGACAGCAGAGGGAGGCGTGCAGCCTGAATGTTTGACCCTGTGGAGAGCAGTTCATTTTGTGGTTGTTGTGATATGTTAAGATGAACTGCTGCATTTCAATTAATGACGCTTTTATCTGTCGTGATTTCCATTGACGCTCAATGGATGTGTGGAAGGATTGTTTGCCAGCCGGGGTACATAAACACAAACAACCGTTTTACCCTCATAATGCCACCATGGGCAGTTTAAACTCTTCAATGAACATAACATATCTGATTTCATCGTGAGAAGATGTTGGAGTACCTGTAGAAACCCGATGCAGGCACTGAGAACACATGCCAACTCCACACAGGAAGGCCATTGCAGAGACTCAAACCCTGATGTGTCCAGCTATCCATCCATTTTCTAATCCACTTATCCTCACGAGGGTCGCGGGCGTGGTGTAGCCTTTCCCAGCTGATTTCGGTCAGGAGGCGGCGTACACCCTGAAATGGTTGCCAGCCAATCGCAGGGCACACAGAGACGAACAAACATTCACGCTCACAATCACACCGAGGGACAATTTGGAACGTTCAGTCAACCTACCATTAGGGTGGTCCACATTTTCATGGCAAAAAAAAAAGTTTGTCGGATTCGTCGGGCCGGGTCGGAATTCTTGTCGATACTATGGTACAAGGTTCTGTGCAAAATTTCATTCCGATCTGATGATATTTTCCCGTCCCGCAAAGCGGCCAAAGTTTCCACCATAACAACTGGTCTCAATAGGGTGAACATGTGTATTTTAACCGTGTATTTTGCCATGCGTGACACTGGCTGGGCTGAATGTTGCCCGAACGATCACCTCCTGACTAACTAACCATTCCATCGCTGCTCTCAGCAGCCGGAGACAAACTCAAACGCACGCCTAACACACAACGGTCACCTACTGGCGAGCTAATATCTTTCAATTGAAGCCGAGAATCGCCGGAATTCTTACTGGACGCTGAGCTGAGGACGCTTTTCGACATCGAAAAAAAAAAAAAAAAAAAGAGCACGAGGATCGGCAGTTCCTGCTGGGCCAGGAGAAGCGTTGCGTATTGCGTTAGTCGTGGCTGTGCCTGCGTTCAGCATGGCCGCTGCAACTGCAAGACGCTCACGCTCAGCCACCGAAGTGTGGCTTGTTGGGCAGCCCGAAGCTCACCACGGCTCGTCGGCGCGCTCGTCACCTACGGGTGGTGAACGACTTTGCGGAGAGGGGCGTCGCCCTCATCAGCGCGTTCTGCGGCGCCATTACGCGCGACGAGGAACAGCGACAGCACCTTCTGCAGGTCGTGGAGCGACACCGGGCATTGCACCCGTGCGCGAAGTAGGCATGGGATGGCACGCACGGCGGATTTCGTTTTTTTTGCGGTCTAACAGTGTCACTAGTGTTGATGGACATTATAGACAGATGGACAGATAGACAGATGGACCAGTTAACATGGACCAACAATCTCACCAGTGTTGAAGGATAACCACGGTTGCCTTTTTTGCAATACATGCGTTCCTGTCTTCCGTCTTTGAATTATTGCAAGTGCGAACTGAGCAAAACAAAATCCTTACTGTACGGGAGAAACCGTACTACCATTCAGCCCGTAACATTCTTTCCATAGGGGAAACTTTGGTCGCTCTGCGGGACGGGATAAAATTATCCGATCGGAATAAAATTTTGCACACATCCTTGTGTCATAGTATCGACAAGATTTCCGACCCGGCCCGACGAATCCGACAAACTTTTCCAAAATGGACCACCCTACCTACCATGCATGTGTTTGGAATGTTGGGAGGAAACCGGAGTACCTGGAGAAAACCCCCGCAGGCATGGGGAGAACATGCAAACTCCACGCAGGAATTCAATGCCATTACTTAAATATAAGCGCAATATGTCACGACAAGTAAAACTGTCCCAAATCCCATATTTTTTAAAGTAGAACTGTTCAATAAAATCCATCACTATCCATTATCTACCACTAATCATGTGCAGTATTCTGCTCCTGCAGTCAAATTAAGCCATAACAAGGCACAATCGAGCTCAGGAAACAAATAAAGGTTTGTGTGTTCAGGGAATTAAAACGGAAGCCGCGCCTCTCACTTTACACACTGAAAGTCACGCGTGTCTATGGTGCATATCTGTGTTCAAGACCCTCCAAGCAAGCACTGCCTGGGTCCTGATGATTTTAGCATGTGTCATGCTAACCATCACCATGATGTTACAGTCAGCGTTCTCAATTACGCCAGAGAGGTTAAAGGTCATCTGGGGGGCATTCCGGGACAAACAATATGACTCCCTGGAGGGCAGCAGCCCATCTGGCCATATGTCCTAATTTGTTTCTGACCAGCACACACACACACACACACACCCACACACACACACACACACACACACACACACACACAAAATAAACAGTAAAACATATTGAAACAATGAAGTGTTTTTTTTTCATGCTGTATTCATACAAAGTGCATTCAGTAGAGCTTTAAACTGTTTTGGGGGGGGTTTGTGTAAACAACCACAGACCCTCGTACTACTCGTATTAATAACTAGAGCTGCAGGCTCTAGTTATTCTCCTGAAAAAGTGGCACTTTTCAGGGTGAATCATCAAAATGATTCCAACTTTGACATCATGCAACAAACTCATTACATGGTGTTGACAAAAAATATGTATATCAAGGACACCAACTTCTGATTGGTGTGCATTAGGGCAAATTCCCAAGTAGCAGTTCATCGAAGTACAAGGCCAAAATGAAGAAAGGACATACCTTGACTGTCTCCATTCCTTTGGAAAACTGTTTGATGATGTCACGTCCGGAATATCGTGCGATTCACTGCTTTCCTTTTCGTCTACCATGCTAAAAAAGTGGTGGTAACATCGTGGCGTGCATGTTGTGGGACACAGGTTTCATGAATAATAATAATTTACAGTTATAAGAGACAGCAACGAAACAAATAATATAAGAGAAAAAACGACATTTTAGGGGCTTCTCCTACTTATTTAGTATTGTAAAAACGATTTTCAGGCATTCTTGTTTAGATTTGGTCTTAGAAACAGCATGTTTTAGCATTTTGCATATGGATGATTTAAAAGTTGATGAGTGGAACGTAAAATGTCTTCCGGTTCTGGAATGACCCGTAATTCAGTTGCCCAGCTGAAAAGTAAAATAAATGAAATGAAATGAAATGACTATAATAGTGAGAGTGCGTCCCCTGGTGGATGTGAGCAATAATTATCTGTGGTCTTTGTGCAAAGTGTGGCAATGAGTTTCCCGGTCTTGCTTTCATGTTTCATTAGCTTGTATTGAATATTTGTCTCTCAGCAGTACATGCATCGTTTTTCTGGATAGATTATTTTTTCAATGTTTTTATATAAAGGCAATTTGTCGGTGCTTCTCAAAAACTTTGAAAGTTCATTTGTTTCAATAGTTCAATTTAAAAAGTTGAATCCCTGTACAGTATCATCAAAGATATGACATTGATTTTCAGAACGCCATTCCCGATATAACCTCCATATTCATGTTGATAAATTTCTTATGCAATATAGAATTATAATTTCATGACATGGTGAATTTTGGGTTTTTGTTAGCCATCTAGATGATCAAAAAGCAAATCATTATTATTTAAAATAGTTCACTGCGTGTACTGAATCAATGCATCACGAATTTCAGTTTTGGAATTGGACTACTGTACTGAAATAAATGTTCACTTTTCCACAAAGTTCAAATGAATTGAGTTTCATCTCTACAGTACATTGGCTCCTGTTATTATTTGCATCGAAATCAATTTTAAAGAAGTAAAGATACAGTTAATGAAAAATGTGAAAATTTGTTTGAAGACATCATCTCACTCGTAAAAAGAATTGAATATACACATTGCAAATTATAGTATACGGTGGTAGTTGTCCTATGAATTGAGATCAAACGTAATGATTACATCCAAACCAGTGTTGTTGTGATGCTAAGACAAATTATTTACTTTACTGTCATTTAATTGACGTTTTAGTATTCAAACTACCGGTAATCACAGATAGAAATGACACACAAACATTCCTGGTTTGGTCTGTCGCCAATTTAATCAACAGGGAGTTCATTACTAAACTAGAACAATGCCTAGTCAACAAAAATCAATACAATATCCTTCAGCAAAGTCATGATAACATTTCCACTCATCATTAGTATATCAGTGAGCGCTTCATTTGAAATGTATAAAATAAACCACTCTCATTAATACATCTATAAATAGACATTTGCTGTCTAGTTCCCTCATAATTGCATTCACATTGTAATCAACACACAAGAGGTGCTATTACTTCGGTATATTACAGTTAAATGATCTTTTCATTCAGTCAAGTGTTGCAACCTTGTCTCCTTTGTTGCATGAATACCTTCAAAAGTGAGTACCTCTCTTCAAGAATAATCCATCCATCCATTCATCTTGAGTCCCGCTTGTCCCCATTTAGGGTCGCGGTGGCCTGTAGCCTATCCCAGGTGATTGCGCGCCAGAGGCGCGTGAAACACCGCGCTGGTTGGCAGCAAATTGCAGGGCGCATCTCGCCACTCACGCCATCATTCACACTCACACCCATGAACAACTTGGAGCCGTCAATTAACTTAACATACATGTTTTTGGAATGTGGGAGGAAGCCACTCAAGCACGGGGGAAAAGATGGAAATGACCGAGCTGAGATTCGCAACCTGGAACCTCAGAACTGTTAGGCACATGTTTCAACTACTCTTCCACTGTCCAAGAATGATACATACGGCTAAAAATGATTTGAAAATTAGTTGGACATTTTAATATATATATTTTTTTAAAGTGCACAAGTGAGGACCATCAGACGGGTTATTTGGTTTCGGTCTCTGTAAAGTTGACTGAGCCACAAATGAAATGCCTTTTTACATTCAGTCTTTTCAAGTAATTTACTCTATTGAATGATCAGTCACTTTCCTAAGGGTCATTACAGAACACAAATAAAAAGTCTCTTTGCATAGTCTCAAAGTGATCACCTGTCCCACGGAGGGAAGGTCCTCGGACGTCTGGGGACGGGTTGACGTTTTTGTCGTCATACGATGAATTGGAGAGTCGGAGATCATTTTGGATCTAGACGTGGGAAGCTTGACCAGCAGCCAAACCGAAGGCCCGTCAAAGGGCGCAGAGGTTACCTGGACAACGGGAAAGCAAGACAAGTTGACGGAGCCTTTGGTCTATGCCTCGCCTCCTCCTCTATTGATTCACACATAGAGTAGGCATCTTATGCGTGTGTATTTAGAGTAAATTAGTAGTTTGATTGATTATTAGTGACCTCTCCCTGAGGGGCAAATGCGGGTTGCTGAGGAAGGAGAGCTGCTGCTCCAGACTGCAGACACGGAATGCCAGGTAGCACGAAGAAAGGATGAGCAGAATGATACTGCCAAGAGAACACACACACACACACACACACACACACACACACACACACACACACACATTGGATTTCCTAGTGTTGTTTCGAAGAATTCTGCTTTTTACAAACCCCTAAAATTATTTTTTTTAAAAACACCACAGATAAACATTTAATATGCCTTTCATGAAAATCATGGGGAATTGGGAAAAAAGAACAGAAAAAACACCCCCCCATATACACATCCAAAAATAATTTAAATACCTTAAAAGATAACACTGTTCGATATATTTTTTTCAATATGCAAATCTGCAGGGAGGATGTGTATATAATAAACGTTCTTGAGTATTGTGATATGTCCGAGTGAACACTGGGGGGCAACAGCCAACCAATTTGAACAAGGGGGATTTTTTTATTCATTTATTTATTTTTTTAAACAAAAGCGTAAATGTGAACCAGAATGGTGCAAAGTGATTGACCAGCAAACAGTCCAAAGTCTGAAACCAAAGTAAGATGAGATAAGCTTAAGCTCACCTGCTACCCAACTGAAACCAAGCACAACAGAAAATGGATGGATGGACAAGAATAAAGCAAATCTGGAGTCATGGAAATATTGTGTGTGTTTTATTTGCGCCAAATGCTACATGACAGGACATCATGACTACTTGCCATCTATTATGTTCGCATTATGTGTGGACCTGTGACTGAGCTGTTGTTAGTGTGTGTAAGCGTGTTCCCGTTTGTGTTCCACACTCACAGCAGGGTAAAGAACTTGAGCAGCTGGTATTCCATCTGGCCCAACTCTGCCACTGGCTCTGATAAAAGGCCTCTGTCTGTCTGCAGGGCCCGCTCTGTGACACACGCGCGCACGCACACACACACACACACACCCACGCACACACACACACACACACACACACACACACAAATGTCTCATCAGCAATTATCCAAGCTTCAGATTTAAATCTGTTGCAGCAGGCATGTATTGGTTATGAGAAATTGACGACCAATGCAGTGTTCCCTTGCTATTGGCGAGGGATTGGAGCCAAACCCTGACGAAAATTGCACAAATTTGCGACAGCCCTCCTAAAGAAGTTTATAAGTTGTTCCCACAAAATGTATGAGAAGTAATTGTTTTCTTTTAGACTCTGTATAAATGTGCCTAGCGTCACTGCAACCCACCAAGATGCAGCAAGAAGGTATCAGAGCAATACTATACTTGAATTTGACTTTGCGAGTAGTGAATTGCAAATACGTGTAATACAACACTACTGCCATACAAATTACCGGTAAAAATAGTATATTTGTCAATCATGTTTTTTTTTTGTTTTTTTTTGTTTTTTTGACATGACATCATGTTATTTTTAGTTACTATATTACTGTATTGCGTTTCATGATTTCTGATGTTTTGTCTCTCAAATGTATCTCAATAAGGTGACCAGCAGTACAATTCTAGATCCCTGTGAACTAAACAAGCAAAATGATGTGCATAATGATAACATATTGTCAAATAAATACATTTCTGAGAGTGTCAATCAAAACCGAGCCTTCTAATCTTTGAAGGGCAAGGGTTTGCACAAGAAAATGTTTGTACAGCTCTTGTATTTTGCTTAAATAATGCTGGTTAACTGTAAACAAAACAAAACAATAATGTGAGTGCATATTTTCAATCACATTAAACCCGTCCGTTTAAAAGCATCCCAACTATTTTCTGACGGCGGATACTTTTAGTGATTATCTGGATGTGATCTGCATCCGCTCCATCTTTTTAATATGACCCCCCCAACCCCCCCACCCCCGACCTTCACACTCCATTTGGAGCTTAACATGCTGTTATGTAACAGAAAAATCGCTCTCCAGTGCGGAGCATTTTGCTCTTTCATGCACATACAGGCACAAATAATCCAAATGACATAAATTGAAAATGCAGTTTGCCCGATACGCAAATTGTTTTCATCACAGTGTCGGACCTTCCAAAGGCTGCTCTGACTTGAAGGGTGTACTTGCAGTGCTCAGACTGCTGTTGGAGTTCCCCACCAGGTCAGGAAGGGAGGAGGACACAGACACCACTGAGGGCTTCCTTCTCCACTTTAACACTGATGGGAATTCATCCACCACTGGAAACTCGTCAGGGGTCGGGAATTCATCCTGGACCAGAAGAAAATACATCAGAAATCAATTACTGGACCTTAACATACATACGGTAGACATGATGGTAAATTATTGAGTGGGGGAAGCAAATATCTTTTTTTTCAAATTCCAAATATTCCCTAGAATTGCTTACATTTTTTTCTGTGGTATATGATCATGTCAGCGACAGTAAAATTTGTATCAAAAACCTGCAAGTCAACCCCCCGAGTGTAACGTGACCGTTTCTGGCGAAGATGCTGACACGAACCAGCGATAAGGCGGGTTCCTCCATGTACTGCTTTAAACTCAGACTCTTCCCATTGACCTGCAGAGGGACATGACATCACTTTGAGTGACACGCTGTCTCTCGTACGCATTGCACGGCACTGAGTGCGTACGCACCTGTAGGTGTGTGCAGATCCTTCGAAGGACGTCATACACACTGTCTCTTGATAGAAGTGACACGAATACATACTGAGAAAATAAAAATAGAATGTCAACATCCAAGGTATATCATGTGTTGCTCTGATGAGCAATCCGAAGGATCTAAACTGCAATTGTAAAAGATTTCTTGATTTTTGAATTGGTCCAGTTGTAATTTAAAGAAAAAAAAAAGATTTGAAAACATTTTGTGGAGGGGAAAAAAAGAAAGAAAAAAAACCCATTAGCGATGAAAACTATTTAATTTGGTGCACAAGGACGATATTGTATTTTCAATCACATTTGTGCAAAATATTTTGAGGAGCAATCATGAGTAAGTGGTCAGGGACGGGATTATAAAACGAGCCCTCCCAACTTCTATTTCCGAAAGAATGCTGTTCTACTTTCGTAATCAGCAGGTCAAAGACAGAACAGTTGTGAAGACACATACGGTACATTCGGTAAAGTACCGTATGTGTGTTGTATAATCCCACAGACACATAGCAGCGCGGTTATAGACCTTGATAGACAATGAGTCATGCACATGTAACACTTTGCACGGCAAAACTTTATCTACTTCAAAAAGATCTCCAGCTCATATCAGAACTGCTGTGTTGGCAGGATAATCTTAATCAGACATTTGGACAGTGTTCTTCTATTCCCTTGCAACAGCAAGACAAACACAATCATCACAAAACAACTTGTAAAGATTGAAAAAAAAAAATAGTATTGGATTCTGTTAAGTAGCAGTCAAACTTTAAATCATGCTGAAAACACAATTCTAAAGTTTAGTCATGATTGTTTGTGCAGTTATTTAACATGACTATTTGTCTGCTCAGGGGTAATACACATGAACTGACGTATATGAGCGGAGAGACTAATTCATGAGAAGCATTCTACCAATATTACATACTGTAAAAACGGTTGGTTGGACAAAAAAAAAAAAAGATTATCTGAGTCTAATCTATCTAGTCTAAAACCTTTTCATTGAAACTTTCTAGCGGTGTGAAAACAAATAGAAAAGACAAAAAAAAAATGGAGATTCAAGTGTCATTTGTCTTTGAATTCAGTGCAGCTGTCCGTCTTAAAAATGGGCCGCTTCAAAGGTGCGAGAGCAATAATGGCTTTCGATTGTGCCAACAAGGCGGTCTTGGGTCCATTTACAGAGAGATGAATGATGTCAACAAGATGACATCATCTCTAAACTGAACAGATACCGTAGATCTCATCGGCTAACGTTCAGATAAATGAAACAAATTGGTGTGTACAAAACAATCCCTACTCTACTGTGCTGAGCCAAACGTCCATAATTCATCTCCTCCACGAATGTTTTGTCATCAAAGTGTGTCTTGAGTGGCACAGAGCGGGGTTTGAGGAACTTTGGTGATATTTCTATTGAATCACTGCTTGTGCTTTGTCATGGTGTTGAATTGTTCACAATAAATCCACTTTATGAGCATGTCTGTGTGAATTCACTTTAAAAGATAATTCCACACTGAATGTTTTAACACTAGAACTGAGCTAAAAAAAATAGTACATAGCATTCATAACAACACTATACTGCTTGCAGAACTCTGAGGGTTTACTTACATGGTATGGGGGTGTAATGCTCTCTCTCTCTCTCTCTCTCGCTCTCTGTATATATATATATATATATCAGTGGCGGATGCTGGTCTGTCAAGGAGGGGTGGCGACGCGTGTCGACAGTACAATATTTCCAAAATCTATTATAGTTGAAAACTATTACAGTGTTGAAAACGTTTTTTTTTTGGGGTTTTTTTTTTTTTTTTTTTTTTTTGGGAGTTGGGCTTGAAAACAGGTTTTGGTCTTTGATAAAATTATATATAGTTAAGTATTGTATAATAACTGGAAAAAAAAATAATGTTCACTACTTCACGGATTTCACTTATCACTGGTTCTTTTTGGAACGTAACCCCCGCGATAAACGAGGGATTGCTGTATACACACACCTCTTCCTATATATATTGTACGAGCCTTGTCACTTGGATGCATTAAGTAGGGCTGCCAATTAGTTCACAACCACCACAGTGACCAAATCCATCAATTTAATAGCTGACAGATCTTTTTTTTCTTTGTATGTATGTATATATGTATGTATTTATTTATTTATGACAGTTCTCTCTTAACTGCCTTGTCTCCTGGTGCTCCTGCTGGCAGTCTGCCTATCTGCAATGCACATGCGTAGTTGTGGTAGCCCGGGTCAACCATGATGTAAACAGAAGCACTGTGCCAAGTGTCATGGCTAACCGGTACAGTATTACCGACAGAGACCGGAAGGAAGGGCTCATTTTGCGGCAAAACACTTGATGCAATGCAAACGTGCGCCTCATGGCAGCACAGCAGTGAGAAAGAAGCATCTAAAAAGGAAGCTTGTTGTGGTTGATGCCTGATTCTATTTCTGACAAAGAGACACTCGTGTTACGACAGGAGACACCAACTGCGGTCCTCGAGGGTCCCCTTCTTGTATGTTTGAGATGTTTCCCTTCTCAAACACACGTGATTGAAATGGTCAGCTCATCAGAAGGCTTTGCAGAAGTCTGATAACGACGTGACGCCGAAACACGAACAGCGCACACACCTTTGCTAGCACTCTGCCTCCTTTCCACACTTGCAAATAGACGGCACGTTTGCAAATACCTTCCGAGAGTTCACTGGTTCATCCCAACTGTTCCGAAACGCAGAGTGCTGTTGAAACGTGCCATTCGTTTTTCAGAGTGCAGCAAATACAAAATTTGAGAGGCACGGTATCGCCTTGAATTTAAATTGCGCCATCATTTTATGAACATGTCAGGAATACTGGTACGAGCTGCGAAGTGGAACTACAGTTGGATGTCTTCATTTTTAACCCTTTCAGGGACAGCGGTGACTGCAGTGGACACCTTATCATGTTATCAGGTTACAGAATGCATGAAAGGGTTCATGTGCACATTTGTTGAAAAGTTCAAGCTGTAAACTCATGATAGGTATATAAGACCAGCTGCTTGCTGGTGTAATAAGCTGTGATTCATATTTGATGGATGACTGACACGACTACTAACGGTGATTAGTCAACTGGCAAAATAGTCATTTGTGGCAGCTCTCGTATTAGCCAGCATGACAGGCTTCAAACATTTCTGAGGGTAATGCAATGTCGAGTATTTTTGCGTCTCCTCCATGCATTTATTTTCTATCACGCTCGTCGTCTTTAAGTTTGCTGGTGAGCTGAAGTCCAGCTGATCTGCAAAAGTTGAATCAAGGCCATTTTGGATTTATTGGTTGTTGAAGACATTTCAGCCATAATCCAAAAGGCTCTTGAACTGAACATGAGTCGTGAAACGTCATGAACAATCAAGGGTCCACTAGTCAGGAGGTCATTTTTTGCAGATTACTACGACCTGGATGACCGAGATTAGACACACAGCAGATCCCAGATGACTTTGGGCGAGAGGCGGTGAACAGCCTGGACTGACGAGCAACCAATTGGACAATTCAGTCTTCAGTGAACCTAACATGCCTGTTTCAGGAATGTGGGAGGAAGTACCAGGAGAGATTCAGATTGATCTCAGATTTGAACCCAAAACCTTCCACCTGTGGGTTCGGCAAAGCTAGTACAGCTTGCACAGTGCTGGCTCGACATGTTAGCAAGTATCGTTTTTTTTTTGTCATTGCTGTTGTTGAAATCCCCACTCAATCCTCATTTTCACAGGCTCAGGCTTATGCTGCAGAAGCTTTATCCTTCGATAATGTGCATTGGTAGATTGCTGTTTAGTGTGCATGTGTTCGCTTGCTTTACTGAAATATGATTTTTTTTTTTTTTTTTGTCCTTTCAAATGGGGTAATTTACAAATCAACTGAATTTCATCATGGTTAATTTGTAGTTTACTGGTACTTTCTGAATTTCAATTTCATCTATTTATGTGCTGATTAAAAGTACAAATATGACTTGTCTGGCATACAGGGAGTTTCAGAATGTCAAACGTCACTGTCGTGTTGGAAAAAACGGCCTCCACTTGAGCATGCTTCCAGGCCGTTGCTATCTATAGCGCTGTTCTTTCCGTCACACCTCGCCTTGGAAAACACACACACACACACACGCTTGCGCTTAATCAGCGCAAGCATTTGAACTCACAGTGACTGTGACGAGAGTGTGTACCTTCTGGCCAGTGTCTGTGGTGATAGCCAAGCCATTGGGCACCAGGCCCGCTGTTTTATGCTTTTTCACCAACCGCACAGAGACAACGGGGAGAGCCACCTACAAGTGGAGAGGAGAAGATGGAAACGGGCATTTAAACAAACAAACAAACAAACATCTTTTTTTTTCTTGGTATGTACACAAGATATATATGGCTAAAACCCCCACAGCATGGGGACGTTGGGAGCAAATGCAGTCGGGGGGTGGGGCAAGAGACATTTCTTATTTCGTCAGTATGCAAGGAATGTTGCCTGAATAAGAAGCTTATTGTCAGTCAACTATCAGGAGAGGTTGAGTTTCAAAGAAATGAGAAAAAGAAGGAAGGATGCATAGCATGAAAGAAAAAAAAAAAACCAGCGGGTTCAGGTGGAATTTCACAGCACAGTTATGGCGTGGAACGATTAAAACTCCTTGGAGTTCAATACTAACTGGAGGTCCAGTTTTTGATCGTCTGAATAAAACGTGATCCGTACGGTACCTTAATGTCCTTGCCGAAGAGGTTGGCATAGAAACATAGCCAATTTCTAGAGATGTAAAGCCTGCCTTGGAGGAGGATATCTCTGAGAAGAGCGCAGGAGTACACTGAGGAAACAAGAGACAAACACACATTGTTTTTCTTTCGATTTCATATTTACAAAAGTGTAATATTTATTTCGTTGTTCACGGCTATGCAGAGAGTCAAGTTGTAATTATGGGAATTCATATCATGGGCCGCAGCGGTTGGAGCTAGTTATGAAGTTATGCTAACATTTTAACTCTCTACAAAAAGGAATTAGAACTGCAAATGTGTACATGTTGTATTTAGAGGGGATCACAGTTGATGAAGATCCCAATTTATGGCATTTCAAGATAACAAACATTGCACAGGATAAGAATATGTTGTCATGAGGCATGAGAAGATTGTCTTTTTTTTTAAGTTCATGGTGGTGGTTCATTTTTAATGTTTGTTTCCATTTGGTTGTCTGTCTTACAGATTTGTTTTGTTTTTTTTGCCAATTCGGCATTACATCATCTTGAGAATTGTGCTTCACTGTCATTGTCTTTAAAGTTAATGGCGGTTGTTCACTTTTAATGTATGTAAAATCACTGAAGATCGGGAATATTTTGAATATATTGTTGAGATTTGTCTTTTGTGCTATAACTGATGTGTAAATGTTTAGTGTTAAACTTTTCATTGTTTAAAAAAAAAGTAATCGAGGAAGCCATGCTATGCCTTGGATTGAGCAAATGAGGTTAAGATTTTCTCAATTTTGTGTTATGTTGAAAAGAAAAAAAAAATAAAACAAGCTTCAAAGAATAGCACCAGCATTTAGAAACCCAAAGACGCAGGATTTCTTTTTTCTATAGCTATAACATGCACATATAATTCGATTTTGTGGCCATGTAATAGGTATAATGTGCAGGCAAAATATGTGGGTAAATTATCGTGAACTTTGGCCTCTGGGTAAGAAAATATGTGCATCTTTGCTGGAGTCACCAATGCCTGGTGTCCTTAAAATGTTTTGTAGTAGTCTGTTCTTGTCAAGAGCCTGCGGTTTTTAACGAATGTCTCACTTTTGTATCCCTGTCCATTGTCTTTCTCCAAGGCCTCATACCTTAGACACGTAGCAAAAGGAGCTCGCTATGTTGGCCCAATTGTCCAGTAGTAAGCTACACATTTGCATCGCGTGGCCACAGACAAGCATTTTGTACACACAATGTATTTGTATTGTGTCCACAAAAACAAACAAAAAAAAAGTTCTGTGTGTCCCCTTTCAAATATCCTTAAAATGTCTCTTACTGAAGACTAGTAACAGAAGAAAAAGTCTAAAAAGAAAAAGAAAAAAGGACCAGTTTGCCAAATGAAAATCCCATTCAGTGCAATCAAATTTTTGGGCAACCACAAATATAGAGCATTAGCAAGTGAATGAAACAGTTTGTTGCTCCACAACAAATGTCATCAATTTCCGCTGTCTCCAAATCTGTGTTTCAGAAAAATGATACAAATTCAGAACAGATGAAAACAGCCCTGGAGCATAACATACCAATCATGTTTTTGACCGAGGGAAAACAGAAACAAAAAAAGGACCGTCGATAGGATTTGGTACAAATGACACATAGCACATAATAACACGGCAAGTATAGATGAGGTGTAAAACTGTTGTGACAAAGTTCTTAGTCGCAGAAGTTTTCGCTGCCAGGTACCTTTCATAAGGAGCTCATCCTTGGGCACACACTGGAAGAGTTTGTGGTACTGCGAGTTGTACTTGCTGACAGTCTGTGCAGAGGGACAGGGCAGAGTCATGAGCAGCTCCTTGGCGGACCGGCCGGCTCGCACGGCACCGGAACTCCCTCTCCAGCCGCCGGCCGCTCCGACCCGGCTCACCGCCGACACCACGCGCTCCCTCAGAGGCGGCGAGCTCTGCACCAGGCTCAGCACGTTGGCGCCGTACACACACACACACTCATCCATGGCCTGAAGCAAGTCGCTGCAAGACACACACTGTTCCCCTGAGGTGTGTCAGTACGGGTGACCGGCTAGTCTACGAGAAAACACGCACACCTGGCTACCGTGTACATAAACACACACGAGCACACACACCAGCGCGGTCCTCAAACTCAAGGCTTCCCTGTCTCAAATTGCCCTTGATAAGTCCGAGCTGGAAAAACACACACTGCCCAGGACTGTCACAAGGGGTGACCCCTTTCCTTCCCAGTATTTCCTCGCCTTGGACAGCGACTCCTTCCGAAATCCAAATCCTCCTGCGTCCAAATACGTGAGTTGTCCCAATCACTCCCCGCTCTCCTCCCTCCTACTCATTTCCATCGTTCTGCCACCCGGTTTTCCTTTCACTCGCTCTCTCCCTCCCTCTCTCTTGTCCATCTCTTTCCACTTTGACTGGCTTACTCTTATTGTCCTTCTATTAATAGTTCAAGGCTGCTCGTCTCCTCAGGAAAACGGAGCGAACTGGAGGTCACAGTAATAGAGGCGGGTAGGGGGCGGCGGTCTTCACTTACTGACTTGGAATTCATGATTTGGATGAAACATCGGATCAAGAAGCAAGGTGCAATCATGTCTCAAGGTTTCTTTGAATGATCTCAATCAGCTGTAAATGAGAGTGCTGAGGACACCATTTGAATCGAATTGCTTTTACGTGACGGTCTTAACTGTCACATAATTACACTGGTCAACGGCACATTTTATTCACAAATAGCTGCATGTTCTCGCTGGCTCCCCCCCCCCCCCCCCCCCTTCTCTTCTGGTCGGTTAATTAAAGACCATAAAGTACAATGGGTCTCACCCAAGTCAGCTGGGATAGGATTTATTTAACTCACCCACCACCCTAATGAGGAGAAGGGCAACAGAAAATGGAAGGATGGATGGCTGGATGGATGGATGGGTGGATGAAGCCAATGAAAAAGATAATCACATTTGGTGCTTTTCACTTCTACTTTTCAAACTGATGCAGCGTCATAAAATAAAAGGCTATAAAATACATTGGTCAAAGAAAAATATTTCATCAAAAAAAAAGGATGACTATAATTCTTCCAGATGACATTTTGGAATTTAATTCATGATTTTTTTATTCTGACAATGCTTTAATTGTGACACGGAGCAACCATGAGCAATTTTTGACATGTGTGTATGTGTGTATGTGTGCGTGAGAGGCGCATAGAGTAGAGGATTTTTTATTACGCCCTCCTCATTCGTATAGTGAGTGCTTTAAGAGTGTTTTATTGTTTGCACAAATTAATATTATTGTGGTGAGCCTGTATGACGGGAAATACAATTGAAGTGGCGCTAAACTTTTCCCCTCTCGTTGATTCACATTTTATAATGGCCGCCGTTCAAGAATGTCTAATACATCTGCCCTCTAAAATTCCACTTGCAGCTTTGCTTTCGTAGAAAAGTATGCAGAATTTCCTGTGTCACAACGCACAAAGTTAAGATGACAACTTGCTATTCTGCTTTCGAATGATTTTTGGCCTACATCAAAAAGCCGCATAACGCGTGGCTGAAAATAAAAATGCTTGCTCTTTCATATTTTGTTACTGTTTGTGACTTTTACTTCTGTTTGTGTATTAACAAGGCGTTGCCAAATAATTAAATGTCCCAGTTAAGAGGGGTAAAAATACATCCAACAATGAGGGATGACACTCACCGAGCCACGGTAACATTTTTTGACATCCTCATAGGACAGCTCTTCAATCAGATGAAACCTGGAATAGAATTAAAAGGCAGATGTGTGATTAACCCTTTCGGGGACAGCGGTTATGGCAGCGGACAGCTTTTCATGTTATCAGGTCACAGGTTATCATTATTGGTGCATGAATGGGTTAAAAAAATGGTTGTGATGCTAATTTCCATTATTTGAGGCTGGCGACATCATCGTGACATCAGCACAAACAAGGTAAACTGGTCGCGTAGATCAGGGGTGTCAAACTCATTTTTGTCGCGGGCCTGATTTTAGTTACAGTTTCCCTTGTAGGGCCGTTATGACTGAAACCATATGAGGAAGTCAAGAATAACGGTTTATTCACCTATTGTTGAAGTTACTGTAATGAGGGGTTTGGTCACAAGAAAATGCTTACAATATCACTTTTATTTATTACATAGGAGAATTCGAAATTTTGGTCGGGATTTTAGCAAGCATCATGAAAGTTGACATCTTTGATTTGCTTTCACGGGCCGCAGAAAATGATGTGGCGGGCCAGATCTGGCCCCTGGGCCTTGAGTTTGACACCTGTGGCGTAGATGGTTAGCAGTCGTGTATTTGAGGGTTATTTACACTCATGAAGGCAAGGTGTTGTTGGTAGCCTTGATGAAAGGCGGTATCGTGGTGTTTTCATCTGTGTGTGTGTGTGTGTGTGTGTGTGTGTGTGTGTGTGTGTGTGTGTGTGTGTGTGTGTGTGTGTGTGTGCGCGCGCGCTGCGTGCGTGCGTGCGTGCGTGTGTGTGTGTGCGTGTACACCGCATGACAATTCCCGCTGGCTGCGTGCCTCAGCGCCACGTGCAATCATCAGCGCGGGTGTGTGTGCGTGTGCGTCTGTGTACATGACTGCAGGATGCAGGTGTACGCTGTCACATTCAGCACAATCAAAGAGGAATATTCCGTTGTTTGCCCACAAATAGCGGCAATGCCCCGGAGATTATGCAGTGGGTTACTGTTTTGTTTATTGTCAGAAAACACAAACACACATGCACATCATCGAATCCCTCTTGCCTGAGGAGGGCTGACGCGGCGGGATACTTCATCTACCAGTAGATAAAATACGGAATAATTAGGTCTTGGAGAGAAATCCCTTTCCGCTATTGTGTTTTTTAAAATGCCATATTGGAGGTAAGACTGGAGACTAAACAGAAAAAGGACTTACTTTTCATACACTAGAGGTCAGCGAGGCGATTGACTGCGTGCAGATACGGGAAAGACGAAAAGTGGCAAGACGAATGTTTTTGGATAACCTCTCAGCTGGTGATCATCTTTCAAAGAGAATGTGGCTGTTTGTTTTGTTTCAGCTTCAGCATTTCCCTCCAGCAGGCGCACCTGTTCCTTGTTTCCAATCAAGCCTTGCCATGGATTTCAGGACTGCCAAGCTGCCTCATCTCTTGTCGGATTATTGACGCGTTTTGTTGTTCATGCTCAAGTGTTGTTTTCTAGACCTCTCCATCTTGTCGTAGTCATTCTTGCTCCCTCAGTTGCTCGTTTTGTAAATAAGGTCATGGCTTAGTCGTTTGAGCTTGCTTTTGTTTGTTGTGTGAATTGGACTCTTGTCATTTGCCGTTTGTATTCTCGGTGTTCATATTACCTTGCCTTTTGCAAGTGCTTTTTGTTTATGCCTTGTTTTTGCTGGCTCCTTGTCACCAGCGGTTTCTGTTTGGCCTTTGTCGGTTTTGCGTTTTTGATCATAAACATTTTTATTTGCATTTTGTCTATGTCTGCGTTTGGGGGATCCAAAACATTATTTGATTAATTCTCGAACCTGACAGTGATATAATGCATAAGAAAGTGCCTCGCACTTTGTTTCCTTTTGTTTTGCTTCAATGGACACTGAGCATCCATATGCATCAGAAAGCTGTTTCATACCGATTGAAGCCTTTCATGTAAGAATTTAGAATGGAGATCAACACGCTCGGATTAGGAGAATGCAAAGCAAGTACGAGAAACTCCAAGTTCCTCTCTGTCAGATGAGAGCAGAGAAATCCCACTGTGGAAAGTAAGGTACAATTTTGCTCTCCTCCTCTCCACTGTGCCAAATGACTGTTGAAATTAGTTTGATATAAAACTTCCTGTGTTGACAGATCCTTGGTAAGATAAGAAAACCTTTAATAGTCTCACAATGGAGAAATTCCCACTTCACAGCAGTAATGTTATGAGAGGAAGAAGTAGAAGAACAAAATAAATAGGAGCTGCTGGAAAGGTAAGTGCTGAATAATAATAATAATAATAAGAAGAAGAAGAATAATAATAACAATAATAATGACATCATCTAACATCTCCATGTGCTTCTTGTTGAGAAGGGCCAACGTTTTATTTTATGTTAGTATTTAGTACGTACAAACCAATTGCGCATATTATGACTCGATGTCATGCTGATTTAACAATTTCTAAGAGATATTAAACCAAGAACCTGCATATAACTAAATATAGTTGTTGTATATACATTATTGTATTTACATCATTTTTATGGACTATAAGTAATATATTTTGTTCACAGGTTGCCGGGTCCTGTCACTTAAACTGAGGTGCACACAAATTTGGGCCCCCTGCAATTTCTGGGTTATATAATCTTAAGAAAATCAACCGTCATGCTCTTTCATACATTTTGTTTAATTACTACTACATGTATTAAAACGAGTGACAAAACATGCCAAAAACACATTTTTCACCAATAGTCATTTACTTAAATAATGACTATTATTCCACTATTCTGCATGACATATAACACATGAGTTAAAGCAAGACACAAATTCGGGCCCCCTGCAATTTCTGGGTTATATCATCTTAAGAAAATCAATCGTCATGCTCTTTCATACATTTTGTTTAATTACTACTACATGTATTAAAACAAGTGACAAAACATGCCAAAAACAAATTTTTCACCAATAGTCATTTACTTAAATAATGACTATTATTCCACTATTCTGCATGACATATAACACATGAGTTAAAGCAATTTGGACATGCTGCTCTACCACTTGTTGGAGTTTGCCCCAGCTTCTTTGGTAATGCCTCTATGCTAATCTAACAAGAAGCTAAATGGAAAGCAGCTGATGTTAAAAGTCCGAGCTAACTTTCCACATCACGTCTTATCTACTTAAAATCTTTCCAAGGCGTGAGTGCTTCCAGTTGTCTCCAAGATCCCGGTGCTAATTTTCCCCTCCTCCTGCGGCTCGATTGTTACGTTGGAGTCCACAATTACACCTGCTGCCGGTGGGAAGTGTTCCCTTTCTAAATTAGGATTCAATTTTAGAGCCTTAGAGTTGGTAATTAGTTTCAGTATTCTGCCTCACAGCCTGAGGCACTGAGCGGGCACAAAGAGGCAGTTTAATACTTACAAAGACATATCCGGTGTTTGGTTTACTGTCATTGCAGTTGTCATTGTCTGCATGGAGTTCGGAATTGGTCTCAAGAGACGTACATTTCCCACTTTAGCGACATGATTTATTGCATCCTAGAGCATGTTAAAAGCAGTTGACTGAAGTCCCAAAATAAAGGGATTCACTCCAGTGTCTTTTACAACCGCCCATCCAAGTGTGACCCTGACGTTGCAAATCTGATCATCGCACGGGTCCCTTCAGACCTCGTGTCTCTTTGCACCAGCAGTATTATTGATGAAGACGTGCTTCAAGTGGAAGAGTGAGGCAGATGGAAGGTGAGCACGGAGAGATGCATGGTGAGTCCCTGCAGGGGCGCCGCCTGTATTTTTAATAATCACTCGCTCATCTCCACCTTGGAGCGCATGGCTACTGTGGGTACTATTTATAGGCTGCATGCAGCAGGCAGTGAGAGTAGCATGTGCTGTGTCTTCACAACACAATGAACACAACATCATGACTTTGTCAAGGATAAGCCACTGAAAGTTGTTCATGATGAGATTGCTTATGCTTCACTCACAAATTGCATTTTTTTGGTGGGGAGGGGGTCAGGGGGTGATTCAGTTATAGATCTGGGTGGGAAAGGTAATTTCATATCTTTTGTGGTTACAGTCCACTTGCATTGGGCCCATATGCAGCAGTGACCAAATCCAGTAGGTGGTGAAACAATAAAAAATAAAATAAAAAAACATACTACGTCTACAGAGGGTCCCCAGTGTTTTACTTATCCATTCCCAAATGCATCTTACATTGGAACAATCAGTAACCTATACTAACGCAGTAGGGAAGTCAAAGTAAATATTTGTATCACAAAAGACAATTGTGATAACTATGAAACAATCAGGGCGGCACGGTGGGCGACTGGTTAGCTCCTCCGCCTCACAGTGCAGAGGTGCAGGGTTCGATTCCGACGCCTGAGTGGAGTTTGCATGTTCTCCCCCATGCCTGCATGGGTTTTGGGTTACTTCGGCTTCCTCCCACGTTCTAAAAACATGCATGGCAAGTTAATGCAACACTCTAAATTGTCCCTAGGTGTGATTGTGAGCACGCATGGTTGTTCATGTATGTGTGCCCTGCGTTTGGCTGTAAACCAGTTTAGGCTGTACGCCGTCTACTGCCCGAAGACAGCGAAGATACCCGTAGGCTCCAACATGCCCTGGTGTGGATAAACAGATTAGAAGACGGATGGATGGATAAATGGCTAAAACAAACATGTGAAAAACAGTTTGTACTGTGGCAGAATGTTGCATTATTGTGCCATGTGAAGACAGATCTTATGCTGTCTCCCAAACTACACAGTTTGAATTTTAATTTGTAACACCGAGGACGCCATGTACAGCTGTGTCCCAATTTGGGCCCCATGCATGTCAAACCTTGTAACACTGCAAACCACAACGTATTTACCAAACAAGAATATGCTGTCTATTTATACACTCTTTGTCCAAATGTATGGACAAAAAAAACAAAAAACACCTATTTTGTTTGATTACATGTCAAATTTGAGATTTAAACTGTGGGAATGATGTCAAGCACATCCGGCTCAGCAGGCACTGATGTCACAGCTGTCCTGTCCTGCTGTAAACAACAGCCTGATCCAACTCCACATGGACACACGCACGCTTATG